GCTGGGCAGTCTCTTCATCGTTTTCCATCCACCAAAACAAGCTCTCTACCTTGACCTGGACTCACACACCTCTTTCTGCCATGCTGAGCTCTGTGGTGAACTGTTCTGTGTGCGTTCCCAGCTCTCCAACGTGGTCCATTTTGTGTCTTTTTTTTTGTTTCCCTGCCGTGCTGTGGGTGCCAAACTGGAGGCCGTGCCAAGGCTTTGTGTTTTACAATGGAAGTTCTTATGAATAGAGGCTGATTAAGGCTCTGCTTTCCACCCTGCTTGTTGGAAAGGGATGGGTTTTAGTGAAGCTCAGTTACTGCTGCCACATGATACTACTGGATAACCATGTTTAGCATTAAAACCTCCAAATTTCTGGATTTGCATTGGTGAGACCAAGTGGGCTAAGGATGGCTCTCAGTGCATGGTGGCTTTAGGTCAGGCTGTGGTTTTAAGGGGTGTGTGCCAGAAATTGTCATCTTTGGCTTTCTCTTTTCTCTCTACTCTCTCTTTTTTCTCCCACTTAAAAGTTTAGGTCTCTTTTTATTCAGAATTTGAGGTGATCACGCCCACATTGCTGTGTGCAGCCCACTAGGAAAGGACATACTGCATCCCTGCCTCATGTACTTACACCATCTAGGATGTTTCTGCATCTACTGCTTTGACACCCTTCCTGGAAGTTATCTTCCATCGACAATACCTGGATGTGAGTGCTGGGAAACCTCGCAAGGAAAACCAAGAAATAACTTGAATTCCCTTTGAATTTTTTTTTTTTTCCAAGCAACTCTTCATGTGTCTCACAGAATCACAGAATATTCTGGGTTGGAAGGGGCCCACAAGGATCAGCGAGTCCAACTCCTGGTCACAGGACAACCCAAAAATCACAAGTCTCATTCCTGTGTGAAAGATTACATGTGTGTGTATATATAGCAGAGAAGCAAAAAATATCTTTATTTTTGTGGAAATTTGAAGTGTCATCCCTGTTTTCCAGCTGGAAATACCTCTCTGAGTATCAGCAACCGGTGCTGAGAAAGGACAGAGTGGGCTGAACTCTCCTGAGCAGAAGAAGATGGAAGAAGGTGGTTTTAAACTCTTGGCTGGCTCAGCTGTGGGGCTCAGCTTTGTTTAGTGAGTGGTGTGAGTTCTTCCTGTAACACGCCTTAAAAGGGAAGTTCTGATTGAGGTAGCGGTTCAGTTGTGACTCATGCGAGTGAAATGCTCAGGCTGCTCCTCCGACAAACGCAAATCCAAACTCCTAAAAGTGGTCTCACCCCCCCCCCCAAGGCTCACAGAGCTCAGTCTGTCCTCTCCTCGCTGGGAACAGACAAAAAGAAATGGGAAGACTCCTCTCCCGACTCCTGACTCAAAAATAGCTCTGCTGAGTGGCCTGATAAGTAATTACAGGGACCAGGGCAGGGAGTGACAGACAGAAAAGGTCCAGGAAACATCTTTGTAATTACCCGGCGTTTGTCACCATGGAGATCGGAGGAAATGGCAGCGTTGGTGTTTGGCAGTCGAGCAGCAGGTTCTGCACCTGAGAGAGGGGGGGTGTTTTTTTGTCTTTTCCAATTCATCTTCCACGAGGGCTGACCTTTTTCTCCTGAGCCATATATATATCTCTTTGTGTATCAGTGCTGTGGACGTGTGTACAAGCATCAGCTTGAAGAATGCTGTCCTAGAAAGACACAAGTCGCTGAATATTAAAAATCTAGAAAACACAGAGCACGAACTGCCAGCACAGTCAGCAGTTAAAATTAAATTATCAATTGTAATCGTTTTATTGCTATTTAGCAGAATTTATTTCTCAGCAGGAATCCTTAGCCAACTTGGGGCAGGAGGACGGAGGGGAAGAGAAGGATCACAATGACTGGGATGGATACCTGGCTGATACAAAGAGCCTGGACAGTGATGTGGCAGTGAATGGGCAGCAGGCAGAAGTTTGTATAGCTGGATGCTCTGCACTTACATATTGATTATTTTTACATTTGTTTTCTAGCAACTGCAAACTGCCACTTGTAGGGCTTCCTGGTCTGGGTTTTACACAAGGCCTGCTAACAGTAAATGCCAGCAGCTCTGCTAACCCTGGGTCAGATTTAAAATAACGTTTAAATTGGTAAATGAGCACGCTAAAGGTTCTCATTAAAGTTTCCACAGTCCAGGCTGGGAGCAAAGGCTCGCTGTGCCCTCTAGTGCACACAGCCAGCAGCTCCCTGTCCCCTCGCAGGGAGGACACGAGGGAAACTCTGTGCTCTGCTTTCCTTTTGTCCTAAACAAAGCCCATACAGAAAATTAAAAAAAAACCCCAAACCACCTGTTGAATGTATTTCCAGCAGTGTTACAGGTAGCAGAGATGAATGCCATTCCTCTTACCTTTACAGTTTAGTCCTGTCAGGTTCTGAGCCGTAGCCAGAGTCCTAAATGTTAACTCTGTACGGGGCTACGCTGACATCTCCCATGTTCCTTTAAGTTCCACTGCTGCAGGGCAGTACAGCACACCTCCAGCCCCAGTCAATTAAGAATGGGACAGGTTTGGGGGCTGTTGATATGACTGATCATTAATCATATCCTCCATCAATACAAATATCTCCAAGGTGTGTCAGAGGACGGTGCCAGACTCTTCTCAGCGGTGCTCACTGACAGGACGAGGAGCAATGGCCATAAAACAAAACACAAGAAGTTCCACCTGAGCATGAGAAACCTTCCTAAATTCTTGCCTGCCTCTGGTTTCCCACAGGACTCTACGTGTTGGTGGGAGCAGGGGCCATCATGTCTGCAGTCGGATTTTTCGGGTGTTGTGGAGCAGCCCGGGAGTCTCAGTGCTTACTTGGAGCAGTGAGTAAAGGCTTTCAAGGGCCTTGGGGGGATGAGCAGGGAGATCATTCAAAGCATTTAATGTGTCATTAGTGGAAATATCTTTAATGTCCAAGACCTTTCAGGTCCTGTGTCCTCTTACCCAGCTTCTCTAACCACCCTGCCATTGCAGAGCTGCTGTGCATGAAGGAGTTCCCGTGCTTGGCTCTTGGGATACGTTCCCTGGAATTACCTTTTGTCTCCCCTAAAGCTCCACCTGAGCCACATCTTTGCCATTTTCCCTGTTTCCAGCTTTGGAAAGCTTTGTACAGACCCAGCTCACCAGCTTTGCTTCAATGTGGGGTGTTGGTCTGGGCAAGGACGAGGGGCTGGCTGGCAGCCCCCATGAACGAGGGATATTCACGTGAGATTCTCTCCTTCCTCCACAGTTCTTTGCCTGCTTGTTGGTGATATTTGCAGCTGAGGTCACTGCTGGAGTATTTGCCTTTCTAGGCAAGAAAGTGGTAAGTAGCAAAGAGTCTCTAATGTGCTAATGGGGCAGTTATGGATTCCAGTGCTGACTGACCTGCAGCGTAGGAAAACTTCCCTGGAGACTTTTCCCAGGAAGACCCTCTGACATTCTTTTCTGGAGTCAATGAGAGCTTGTGTTGTCACAAGTCCAGAACAGGATGCAGTTTCTGCCCTCCCCTCTGTTAAAGAAAATCTGTAGGTGTGGTTCTACCTCCCATCCACAAGGAGCATCAAAAAAAGAGGGCAAACAAATTCAGGCACTGAGCTTCTCCACCTAACAGTGTTTAACCAAAAACCACAGAACACAGCCTGTGAACATTCTGACCCTCACAAAACCTCCTGTCTTTCCAATCCTGTACCCGTTTATCAGGCACAATTTCCTGCCCTGGAGGTTGATCACACGAGCTGGAAGTTTGCTCTGGGCTGGGGGTAAGGCTGATTTGCTCTACTCACTTGGAAAGTCTGATTTCTGCAGGCAATACAGGAGGCCCAGAAGATCTATGAAGATGCTTATGATGACTATATGAAAAACCCAGTGGGGAAGGTCAACAGTACCATCTACCGCTACCACGTGGCTGTGAGTACCCACCTTTGTCACCTCACCACTGCTCCACTGTCACATCACCCACTAGAACCCAGAATTCCTCCCACTGAGGTGTGGAAGAATAGAACTGAGGGTACTCACAATGGGGCCAGAGGCTCACAACCCTGAGAGTTTACTGAGTGGGCTTTTTTTGGGGGGGATCCAGAGTTCTGGTTTTTGGGTCTCTACTTTTAAAAGTGCAACTGGCCAGGCTTCAAAATTCCTGATGCTTCTGGTCTTGGTTGTGCAGACGATATGACTATTATGGCCCTTTTGGTATTTAAATCCAAGGAAAAAATATTCACAAATGCAGAGAGAAGGAGAAATGCCTGAATCCTCTGCATTTGCCCCAGAGAAAAAAGTGACCCCACAATGTGGCAGATGCTGTCAGTGGCTGCACCAAGTAGGAAAAGAACCCAAAGTGCACGTGTGACACAGTTCAGGCCACCCAAAAAGTGAGTGTCTGGATCAGAGTTGGAACCTGTGACTTCCTCAATCCTATTTGTGTCCATCCTGTATCTACACTGCCTCCCACAGAGATCAAGCCCAAGCTTTGTTGCTCCTTACAGCAATTCCCACGTTCTTTAGAACAAACATTTCACAACCTCAGACCCTTTTGTCCTTCTCCCATAGCCGTTATTTCTGACCCAAAGAGGAATTCCAAGCATTTTCTGGGAGATAGGCAAACAGGAAAAACAAACCCTCCGAAGCACTGATTTATTACTGTCTCCAAACCCAGCACGATGTTGTGTCAGAAATAAAATTCCAGCATTCTCTGCTGCAGCTTTTGTGCATTGCCCATAATTCCGTGGGTGATACTTGACCTTTCTGCTTTCTCCCTTTAACAACTCCTGTTTCCTTGCGAGCCACGGGTCAGCTTCTCCCAAATCCACTTGTTTGCTTTGTCATCAGATACTGTAATAAAAATCCCTTCTGGACATCGTTGCAAATACAAATTTGCCTGTTTGCTGCTGCCTCAGTCAACTGAAACTCGTTCCTGAGAATTTCATCCCACGCAGTTGGAACTCTACCAGAGGCAGTGGTTAATAGAGAGAATAAAATTATTATTTGATCTGTATTGATTCTATTTTTTTTTTTTTGGTTATTTAATGTCTCACTTTCAGTTGGAAAGTAGTAACTGATTTTCAGTATGAAACAGTCTGTGGCTTTTCCACCACTCTGATTCTTCCTCTCTCTCTCTCTCTCTCATTTAGCTCCAATGCTGTGGGAAAGGTAACGTGGAACAAGTGGCATTACCCTGTCCAGAGAATATCCAGCTGCCAAAGGTAAGTGTCCCTTGTCCTGGTTGTTCTAATCACTTTTTCATGCCAATTGGTGAGTAAAAATTGGAGACATTCTGTAATTAAAAGAAAGGAAGAACTTCCTTTTTTTTTTTTTTTTTTTTACCTTGTGATTTCCAGCATGAGATTTCTTCATGGCCTGTTATATAAAAGAGTTTAAATTTAGGGAGAGCTGAGTGTAAGAAAAGCACTTGTGTCAGCCTGTACAGGCAAGAGGTACAGATGTCTCACTAGAAAAGGGAATATGCTGTGAAAGTTGTCCAACAAAACACAAGGCTCAGGTGCAGGAATTAGGATGGTGACTGCAATATTTTTTCATATTTATCTGTTATTCTTTGAGAACAGTTCATGGAGTTGGTTGGAATGTATTTTTTTTCTAGGAGTAAAGAAATCTTTCATTTTTTTTTTTCTTGACAGAACTGCCTGGTTGAAATTCAGAATGTAATTGATACTAATCTGCATTTAGTTGGAATTGTTGGAATTGCAATTGCTGGCATCACAGTGAGTAAATCCATGTTTTCAAACCTCTGCTTGAGCCCAGTACCCTGTGTCCTTAGGCAGGGTCCAAAGCAATGGTAACCTCATTTTATTGTAACAGTAGGAATGTGGAGTGCACATGAACCAAACTGAAAAGCAAAAGGCCACAGCAGCATTTCATCTACCCCAAAACAACTCTACAGACTGATGCTTTAAATCCTTTAGGATCCATTCCTTAGTTTTCATGAGGAGTAGAGAGTACCTACCATTTGAAGGACAGTTTATAATCAGGTTTTCTAGGACAGAGCTGTGACCAATAGGTGTCACCCTGACCCAGGGATGCAGCAGGATGCTCAGGCTGGAGCTCACCAGGCTTTAGCAGGAAGAGTTTTCCAGCACATCCGCAGTGCTCAGCACAAGCTCCAGGAATCTGGTCCCTCTGGAATCACTCAAACCTGCATGATATTCCACTTAAAAGCATCCTTCAACTCAGCACCTTGTGGTGCAATACCATGGAGAATACCAATAGCCACAGTTATTCAGCCTGTTAAATTTATGTTAATAGTGTTTGGGGCAGTGTTGGTGGCCTTGACGTTTAGAAGAAAGAGCAGTAAAACCACGAGGGGCAGATAAAATCTTGGCTTTGAGGATCAGTGAAATCTCCTGCGGGTTAATTGCCTGATGTTTTGGGGTTTGTAGATGGGAGCAGCCACTCCTCTGCCATGTGAGCCTTCAGATTGTTCTGATATGCAGATTATTTTATCACTGTTTTGTGAGTGGATCCCTAAATCACGTCCCTTCTCTTCTAGATCTTTGGCATGATATTCAGCATGATTCTGTGCTGTGTGATCCGTAACACACGAGACATGATCTAAAACTTTCACTGCACAACTGGGTCCCCAGGAGTTCCAGACTAAGCTTACAAGAAGTGCTCTTCTACCCAATTTAATAATTGTAATGCATTTTAATCAGTGTTTTAACATACTGAGAGGAAAATAGCCCATTAGGTGATCAGGTGAATTGTATTAGTTATAGTAAAACTGAAGTGAACAACAACAACAACAACAAAAGAGGTTTAAAATGTCCTTTTTAATGAAAAAAAAATGCAAAAGGTTCATCTAAGACTAATTTGATTTTTAATGTTTGTATATGTGCACTTAAGAGTTTACACATGTGTAAGCACATGCATATCTATGTCCTTACAAATGTATATGCACCTGGATGTGCAGTCCCTTGTCTGGGTAAGTATTGTGCAAAGGGAAGATGTTGTGTGTGCATCCAGAGTCTCCCTGTGCAGGAATCTGCACATCCCACAGGGACACAGTGCTTGGAACCCTCTCACGCCGAGCCCCTGTTTGTTTGACAGGAATCAGCAGAGGAACAAAATGCCATTGTAAAAAGTTAAGACCCGCCATCCCTTTTGTAACTGTTCTTTCCAAAGCCCAGAACAGAGTAGAATTAATAAAATTGGACTTTACTTCAAAATAACTAATGCCTAAGGGCCTGCTCCAGCAAACTTGAATTCATGTGAGTAGACCCACTGACTTCACTTGTCATGCAGAGACTGGATATTTATTTGTTTTTAGGGCTGGGCCCTTCATGCAAATGCAGAAAGCTCTGGGGGAGGAAAACTGTCCAAGGAGATCCAGGCTAAGGGAAGAGGGGGAAAGAGGTGGGAAGCTGGCAAGGCAAGGCAGTCATTCGGGAGCAACTGCAGTGCAAAGTGTGCTTAAGCTTCCCAAGGAGCCTGAGATACACCAAAAAAAACCCAACTGTGAGTTAAAGGGGCCACTCAAATCCATCTTCAGCAGCCCCTTTGTCCCAAAAGCCTCGCTGTGGCTACAAACTGGTGCAGGAGTGGAGCCCAGATCCAGACAAGCAGCCCCTTTGTCAGATCTCTCTAGAATCTAACTGGCCTGTGGAAGCCAAACAAAGAGTGAAAACGGTCAGAAAAAGACACGCAGCACTTTAAAATCCTCAATTTCTGCTTCTGTGACTATCACAGCTTCCACAGGGCTCTTTACCTCAACCTCTCACCCTTTCTGTGGGTGCAAAGCAGGAAAGAAAGATGGGACATTTTTACAGAGCCACAAAGTAAGGTTTCTTACTGGCACCTGTAGATAGCATGTCAGGTATAAAAAATGACACTGTGTGCTTGAAATACCTCAGGGCTTGCGTTTACATAGTTTGTTTCTATATTTTTATTTTTCTATTTGTCATATTTATTCAGAAGAGAATGTTCCTTTTGAACCAGACTAGGAGGGAGGAAGGTTGTCTCGAGAAGGGGAAAATAAATTACAGCCAAGGCTCAGAATCTCTTAATTTTTTGCTTACTCAAGATAATTCACCATTTCAGAGAACAGCTTTTTGCTAACAACATCCCCAGAGCAGCTCTGTCTCTCTGGTGATCACTAGTTCAGATTTCTGATGCAGTTGTTCCACACGCAACTGGGAGAACTTCAGTTAAACTACACATCATGGAGCATTCTGATGAGTAAGAGCATTTACAAGTCATGGGGGTCTTTATTTCACTGAAACACAGTGGAATGAAGCGGGATTTCAGGAAATACCTGCATTCCAATGCAGGTGTTTGTGTGGAATACACCCCCTTTATATTTATATTTATCTCGTGTTTCCAAAAGAAACCCAAACTCCCATCACTTTTCTGTCACTTCAGGAATGGAAATAAGTGCTGCTGCTCCAAGCACCTGGTTAAATTGACACATCTTTGCTGTCTTTTCCATAGATCTCTCTTTTCAAATTGCCCAGCCACAAGCTGGGGCACTGCACTGAGTGCTGGCACTGCCCACCGAGCAGGGAGACATTAAATCACACACCGGGAGAGAGTCAGGTTGGGTCACTCTGTCACTGGATGCCAGTTAAAAACTGGGCCTGGGATCTTACTCTGGAAGTAGCAGACCAGGAAACAGGACCCTGCTCCTAAGGAAGGCCCAGCTGGGAGAATGACAGTGGCAGCAAATCCATGAGGGTCTCAACTGAAACTCGGAAATCAGTTTTTCCACAGCAGCCAACAAAGTGATTTCCTGGCTCCCAGGTACACCTGGGGCTTCAGTTCTGCTCTGGGGTGTGTTCTCCCAAGGTAAAAAAAAAAAGCAGAAACCTGTGTAGAGTGTCATTTTTGCCACTCAGAGCAAGCCAGCTTTCCAGGAAAAGCAGTAAAAAATAGCACCATGCCAACAGCACCGTAGCCAGTGGTTCAGGTTCCAAGATTATTGCCCTACAGGGATAGAAACTGACTGGAAATAAAGAGATTTCCTTCTCACTCCCCCTCTTAATGACAGTATTTTATTTATTTTAAACACATCTACGTAGATAATTTGCAGCACCAGAATGTAATGACAGCACCAGAGTTTCTCTCTTTATTATTTCTTGAGTTGGAAGATGCCCACTCCTGCTTTGAGATGCACTGAATACCAAGGCAGCTTGCAGAACCTGCTGTTGCTTCCCCAGCACCCCCCCCCAACTCCCCCAGAAGTACAAAACCATCTCAGTGCCTTAGGAAAACAGGGAAAAGTGGTACAAAAAGCCCTTCTATAAATTCAGACTCGAACCACCGAACTTTCTGCTGAAGTGTTTTGGGTTTGTGGTTTGTTTTTTGATTCCTCTGAAGAGTGTGTTTATTTTACTGCTCAAGGGTTACTGCTATTTAGGTCTAGGGGATACTTGCACTGCATACCAGGAACAGAACATTGCCTGTTACTGGTCTAGTTCTTTAAGTTATTGGTATAAATTAAGCTGGAAATCAACATGATGTTCATATCCTAGTGCCTTTGACAGAATCCAGGGATAAAGGTCTTTTGTTGTTTCCTGCTGTTGTGAGGTGCTTAATATAATAGCAGTTTTCTCTGCATTTTAGTAACTGAAGGTCTTTTTAACTCATCAAGAGACATCAAACCCAGCTGTTCTTTCCCTGCACCAGTGACTGCCACCTAAGGCAGCAGAAATACCCATTTAGTCCTGTTCCTTGCACCCATTTCAGAGGAAAGACAAAAGATCAGATCCCTCCAGGTGATAATTCTGAAAGCACATCACACAGCTTTTCTTCTTCGCCTCAGTCAAACAGTTTGTTCTCAAGCATAAAGATGTAAATTGTCGATGCCCTTATTATGTCTCTAAACACCCTTATTCACATTTCCCTCGCCTAATTTTATTAACTGACCTCAGTGGGAGCTTCATTTGTCCCCAGGAAAGCTCAGCCAGTTTTGGTACCTGGCAGAGACCACACAGGGGCTGATGAAGCTCAGCCCTGTGACATCCCTACCATGAAGAGTCACCTTTCACTTGTCTCGATACTGATAGTCTTATAACTAAACATATTTCGTGTGTCTTGAAAAAGAACTTGAGTTATCTTGAGCCTTCAGACGCTGCGCTGTGCAGCCTTCGGAGGCCACAGATTAACAGCTGTTCAGAGAAAATGTACACAAATAAAGCTTTTCAATCTTCTTCCTCTCTACTGGTGCTCCAGCCACGAGGTTTTCCAAAACACAAACCACTTCCAGGATAACGCGTGTGTCTTTACAGCACACGAAAATTGTGGTTTCGGACAGAACTGGCGTTTTTCGGTTCGTGCTGCAGAGTCTGCGGCAGAATTACCTCTACGGCTTCTTGCTTTGAGAGAGAAAACAAACTCACTCTGTGGCTGAAATTAGCTTTCACTTCCCTACGATGTGTTCCGAAGTGGCGTTTTATCGGCTTTGTGTCTTGAACTTGAAACAACTTCCTAATAAAAATAACCTGGAATAAGCGGCTCCCGGAGAGAACTCGGTGCGCGCCGTCAGAGTCCCCAGGGTTCTCAGCTCAGGGTGAGGCATCCAGGGCGGCGGGCGGGCTGCAGGGAACGGAGCAGCTCTCGGCCAGAGAGACGGGCGGGACGCTGGGCCGGGGATCGGGACTGGGATCGGGATCGGGATTGGGATGGGGATGGGGATGGGGATCGGGACAGGGCCCGGCGGGATCCGAACCGGCGGCACCGCCGGGACTCCCCTCAGGGTCCCGCGTGCCGCGGAGGCCCCGCCCACCGCGGGCAGTGCTCGCTCCCCATTGGCTGCCCGCGCCGGGGGCGGGGCCGTTTCAGGGGGCCCTGGAATGGTTTGGGTGGGAAGCGACCCTTGGGATCATCCAGTTCCACCCCCTGCCACGGGCAGGGACACCTCCCACCAGCCCGGGTTGCTGCAAACCCCGTCCAGCCTGGCCTTGGATATTTCCAGGGATGGGGCAGCCACAGCTTCTCTGGGCAACCTGTGCCAGGGCCTCCCCACCCTCCCAGGAAGGATTCATTCCCAGTATCCTAAACCTGCTCTCTTTCAGTGTGGAGCCGTTCCTTCTTGTCGTGTCACTACCTGCTCTTGTAAATAATTTTGCCCCGTTTTTCCTGTGAGTTTCCTTTAGGTATTGGGTCATCCAAAGCCTTCTCCAGGCTGAACCAAGGTGGAACGGGGGTCCCTGCAAGACGAGTCCGTGCCCGGGGGCCGCCCCCTCGGGGTTAAACAGACTCAAAATTCCCTGTGCTAAAACGCCCCTTTTAACCTCGAGAAGGCTCAGGCTGGTTTTGAAGCTGAACAGTTTGTTTCTTTGCCATTTACCAGCTGGCATGATGGCTGCTTTATGCAATAAATACCTATTTCCCAGTTTCCCCCTGACATTCCCTGTGCTCTTCTCCAACTAGAGAGCAGCAGTTCATGTTGCAGCTCTTTGCTGAGAGCTTGGTAGCTCTTAGATGTGTTGGGACTGGGACTACCAGACTTCTCACCATTTGTAGCTTAATTGTAATTAATATTTCCTGCTCAAACAGCTGTAGAAATAGTCTCATACAAATCTAACCATAACTGGGTTGTTTAAACTGTAGGTGTTAAGGATCGATCCTCCCACTGCTCCTGTAAATCCTCTGGATTTTCTGTTAATTTTAAACGTGGGTTTGGAGAGTTTAAATTTTCAACCCTTGGCTGTGAAGGCATTTCTTCATCACCAATTATACACATGATGTCTTTTATCACAGACTCGTAGAGGTTGGGAGGAACCTTAGCAGCTCATCTGGTCCAACCCCCAGCTCCAGGGGGTCACCCAGCAGGTTCCCTTGGGCTTTCTCGGAGGCTTTGCTGCAGATAAAATAAAATGAAAGTGTCTAAAGTGGAGCATCCAGGAACATTCACGGAAGCTGCAGTGCTCGAAGCAAGATTTTTCTAAGGAAATTAAATTTTGTATTCGTAGCCTGTGAATTTCGGTTCCTTTATTTACTATTCCAACCAAAGGGTGAATGGAATATCTAATTTCCTGGGAGCCACAACGTCAGGGGAAAGGGAACAGTTGTTAGTTTACATTTATTTCTTCATTCCTGGCTCTGCACCTCTCACCTGTGCATGTTCAGCACACAGGGTGGGCTCAGCTCACCTTCCCATTCCCAAGGGACCAGCTGCCCTGGGTGTGGAAGAAGAATTCTTTTCCTGAATTTTTCTTTAAGTTTGAGGGCATCCCACTCCCCTCCTGGAGTAAGGTTTGAAGCTTCAGTGATTCTTCAGTGCTCACAGAGACAGGTTTTTCAAGCAGTGTATTTCAGCAGGAAAGGCAGGGTTATGCCACTAGTGCAGAGACATGGAGAAGCATTCCCAATAAACACGTCTGGAAAACAGCAGGAAGGATCTACAATGTGGATAAACGAACTGTATGTGCTTAGTCCCAGCTGACAACACTGAAGCTACAGGCCTCAAAAAAACTAATATTACAGAGATGGAAAAATACCATTGCTACTTTGAAGGCTGCAAGTATATGTCAAAATCTGATTAAAGTGTTCAATACCAAGGGTATGTGTTGCCTTTTTCTAACTCCAAAACATAACAAATGAAAGATATGAACCCCAAAATATATCAGTATCAAACTCCAAAATATGTCAGTACATAAACTCTTTGAGCATCTCTTCATAAGAAAACACCTGGGATTTACAAGCACAGGTTTACACATCCACAAAGTCACCCCTTCTTCTTCCCCAGAGTAAATTTGGGGTGGGTTAAAAACACAAACCTGCAGCCCTGTGACCCTTTTAAGCCGGTGACAGAACATCCAGTTAATTAAAACAGGCAGTGATTGATACACTTTCAGAAGGAATCTCTGCACACACCAGTTTGCAAACCTAACAACGAAAGACGCTTTTATTTCTGTTCAGCCGTGGGCAGAGCGAGTGCATCTTCCCCCCCCCTCCCTGCCACCCACGCTCCTCTGGAAGCTTCACATGGGGCAGAACTTCTGGGGCTTCGTGCAGTAGTTGGTCCTGACCCTCTCACGGACACAGTCACTGTAGTCAGTGTTGCACTTCCCACACTTGCAGCTCAAAGCCACGGGGTAGGAGTAGTAGGGGACGGTGTGGTGAGGGCAGCCCGGAATCAGCGCCGTCTGGTACAACATCTCCTTGTACGTGCACACGTTCTGGGACAGGGCACTCTTGAGGAGCAGCTTCTTGCCATTGCTGTCCTACAAAGAAAAGAGGAAATGTGTCGTTGAAGTGAAGCATTTGCGTGTCAGAAAACTTCCTGGGAAGTGCAGAGATCAAAGCTCTTGTGCTTAGCCGGGTCACCTGTTTGTGACCGGGGCTCTCTCCACACGTAGATGCATTCACCTTGTTCTTGTGGTTTAATTAATCCACTGGGCTCAGAGTGTTCCCAGTGCTGTAAGGAAGGGAACTTTAGGTGCTGTGTTGAGCAGTGAAGCTCCAGCACAGTGTGGAGAGCTGTCCCCACGGCCAGCTGGGACAGCAGCAGCAGGAGGAGAAGCTATCTAAGTCATTTACATTAATTAAGAGTGACCAAGTATAATCTGCTCCTCGCTTCTTCCATCCTGCCCCCACAAACTGCCCCCAGAGGCTCTGCAGTGGCAGCAGCAGCCAGGTCTGTGCTGTGCCACTGCTGTTACCAACTCCGTAGTTCTGGGGGCTTGGCATTTCTCATCCACACCTTTGCGAAAACCTGACTTGGAGACGTGATGGTGGTGATGTTTTCAGAATTAACGCCATTTACACTCTGTTTGCTGGGAGAACAGGCACTTGGTTTGCAGTGGTGTTACAGAAATACCAGAGCAACACTTCGTACCCGAGTCATGCAGAATCCGGCACAGATGGTGGTGTTGATGGCCAGGCAATAGGCACATTCCCGTTTTTCCACGTGGATCGTGTACTCAGAAGGAGCACAAAGTGATGCTGTTTGTCCAAAAGTCAGGCCAAAGAGGAGAGACATCACAAAGAAGGGCCTCATGCTAGATGGGGAAGAACAAACAAACAAAGCAAGCCCCGAGTAAAATGGGAGTAAAACTTCTCCCAGCTCTTTCCTTGGATTCACCAGAAGCAGTCAGGACAGTCACAGGCTAGGATTAATCTTAATTTTTTAGTTACAGCCTGACAACTTTTTTCCAATCTCAGACATTTAACTGAAGTAGTACCAACTGCTAAAAAGAAGAAAAGGGTAAACAGGCCATTAAAACAAAACAAATTCAACTTCCCCCCACTAAAGCATATCACATGGAACTTCTCACTAATGAGTGATACAATGGTGACAACTGAAAAATAGCAGGAAATGAAGGATTTGAAAATGTGACATGCTAGAGAATGTGAGCTCTAGAATTAACCCGAAGTATTAAAATAATCTCACTGGTTTAGAAACAATTTCCTAAGAAAAGCACCATTTAAAATGTTCAGGTGAGTAAAAGACACAACAGTGCATATCAGGCATAAAACTGGATTTTTCAATCTCCACTTGGCTTAGAGGAGTGATGAAATGGGAACACTGCCAAGAATTAAAAACAGATTCAAGCAAATTACAATAAAGAACACCAGCAAAGAGTTCAGCTCCACGGATCCCACTTTATCTGTCTGCTGTGCCGACCTCATTTCTCACACTTACTGGGGGATCCCGAGCCTTGATTAGCTCCAAGACAATTCCAGGAGCTACTCCAGAGCCTCTGCATGACAAAATTTAAATGACAGTGTCTACCAACATCCAGCCATCACACTCTAGTCTCTTCCAGCTGCCAGTTCCCCATAGAAAAGCCATTCATTTCCCAGTCTGCTTTACCCTGGAGCTGCCACAGTGCAAGTCTGGAAAGAACAACCTCTTGTCAGCGGAATTCTTCCCTATTACAGGAACCTGAGTCTGCCTTGAGCTGGGAGAGGCAGTGACCCAGCACAAGCTCTGCAGGTGCTTTATATCTCCAGCCTAATTCTAGGCTGATCTTACTGTTTATATAATTGTATCTGAATTACTGCTTTCTTATCACAAAGTCATCTACTGAAAATTCATACTGAACAACAAAGCAAATGTGACGGGAACAAACGTGTCCAGAAAATCCTAACCTGGAAACTGGAGCTGGAAATCTAATTATTTTAACAGTCATCCCCCCCTCGGGCTTTTAAACTAACCACTGCTTTAAAAAAAAAAAAAAAAAAAAAAAAAAAAAAAAAAAAAAAAAAAAGGTGGCTATTATTGATTAATTTAATCTCTGCATAGGACAGCAACATCATGGCAGGAAGGCTGGCATGGAAATTGACTCCTCCTGAGCCACAGATGATGAATTTTACACTCATGTTTTGCTAAAGTTTAATGATGTCTCGTTCACTCTGCTGGTTACAGGGCTGGCACACCTGGGAGATGATGGCACAGGTTGCCCAGAGAGAAGCTGTGGCTGCCTCTGGATCCCTGGAAGTGTCCAAGACCAGGTTGGATGGGGCTTGGAGCATAAAATTAAATCCTAGAGAGGACCAAAAGTGCTCAAAATAAGAATTAAAAAGTAGCGTTCCTAAAGCAAGGGTATCACACGTGACCCTTGCACTCACAGCTGCTTCTTCCCTCTAAAGAATTCACAGCTTGGGGCAGTTGGAGCTGGATTTGTGTAACCTGGACCTGACAGGGAGACCCCCACACCTGAGTTTGAAGTGTCTCAACACACCCTACAAGAAGAGAGGCAGAGAACAGGTCAGAGTGCGAAGACATATATTCTTTGCTTCCTCAAAGTGCTGGTTTCTCAGATTTGAGAAAAATGGGGGGTAAGGAGGGTGGGATTGAGATCAGGGTAAAAAGGGTTTAAGAATTCGCTTTGACAAGATTTAGGGAAATGTCTGCAAACATCAGCAGCAAACTAGAACAATGCTTGAAAGTGTCCCACGGTGAAGATGAAAAAGAGAGTGCAACCATCAAAACTACAGCAAGAAAAAAGAGGAAAACCACCAACAATCACTGCTGGAAGTGAGAAAATGTACAACACTTGCACGGGAAGCTGGGGAGTAGGAAATAAACTTCTGCCAGGCCAGAGGCCAACAGTAAAGTCGAGGGACACTGTGAGATGAAGACAAGCTGTTGATGCAGAGTAAATGCAAAAGCTTCAGCAAGTACTTGTTAATTTGAAAAAGTAGTGGCTGAACAATCAACTCAGAGATTTGCGACAAAGGTTATTAAATAAATCATATAAGGAGTATCTTAAACTCAACATGATTAGCTGGCTAATGCTGATTTCAACAGGTCTGAGAAAATATCAAAACATTTAAAAAAAAAGTGCTAATATTACGGCAGTGTTTAAGGAGAGAGTGTTGACCCAGGTAACTTGCCACCAGCCAGGTAAAATAACAGAAAGTTGATACAGGCTTTGAGCAACAAAGAATTAACAGATGAAAACATATCTAATGACCGTCAAGACGACGTTACATAAAATAGGTCATGCCACACAAACCCAATTTCCTTCTTTGCAGTGATTAAAAATTTGGTTGTTAAAGCAATTATGGAGATGCAATGTCCTTGGTTCCATCTGTCCAGAGCCCTTCTGTCAGGAAGGTTTAGAGCTGTCAGGCAGAGCCCAGGCTGGTGAAACGTTGGGTAGAATGTTGGGAATTATCAGCCCCTGGAGCAGTACAATCTCAGCAGTGCCTTTACTCCCTGCAACGTTCTTACCCAGCCTCTGAATGCACCTCAGTGCACTACAGAAATACTTGACCAAAAGTGTGAAAATTCATTTCTCTGGAAGGGCAATAAATTAGTCTGATTGGCACTAATGTGAGTGCTGCCCCTCGCACTCAGCTCAGCTCCACGCTCACATGGGCACGGAATCTCCTGGTGCTGCCTCTTCCTTGCTGGCACCACCTGTCAGAGAGGCACTGGAGAGCACCAGGGTGGCACCCACACACCTTCAGTGCCCTACCCAAACTATTAATGCGTCAAAACAACCTCCTGGATCGTCCTGGCTGCCACCATGGAGCTCATTCACGACTGACCTCTCTGCACTGGGAGTTCTCACCCCTCTGGGAGTGAGATCCCACAACCTCCAGGGAGCAGCAAGACAGAAGACTGGCAGGACAACACAGTCCAGTGTCCCAATCTGTGACTGCCCGAGGCTTCTTCCATACAGTTTCCCAAAATCCATCATTACAAGTCTGATGCTTATGGATCCGTTTCTTCCACTGCCCTCCTGCTGACCTGCAGATACACAGCGATAGAAGTTTTTGATGTGTTTTTATAGCCATCAGCTTTGCAGCCCTGTTCTGGAACAGCCAGCCACACTGTTAATTATTTATCTTTAACCTTTATGTTTGCTAAACCAATCCATTCACTGACATCAGGGATTTTACACTTTCATTAAGTGAAAGACGGTGTGCTGATGTTCTACAGGAAGTGTTTCAAGTGGTACCTGTAAATGGAATTTGGCAATTATAAAAATCCTGGGTTCATTCCCCAGGAGTCTCTGCAATGGGCTACAGAAATTCAGTGCATACCAAAAGCTCGTATGTGACAGCAATTCAATAGGATTCCCTGTCCCTGACCAATGCCTAAGATAAAAGCAAGAACAAGGAGAAATTATCACACATTATTCCTGCTCACTCTGCCCCTGGTAGTACCACAACACCCTGAAAACTTCCTGGTCTCATGAGCAGGCTTCTCATGACAGCAGGGTCACTCTTGTTTCTATGATATATTGAACTGAGGATGGTAAAAAAAAACATGTCCAAACTTGCAAACAACTGAGAACTGGAAGCTGGTGGAAACCAGACAAAACCAATCAGATCGCTGAAAGAGGAAGTATTTCCAACCCTGTCCTGTTGCAGCCCTCCACTGATAAAAGGAAGTAAGATCCTGATATGCTGCCATAGAAACAAGTGATTTTGCCAGATTTTGCATTTAAACAGCCCGTGGCTGCTGAATTTTCAAAACTAATCTGCCTGTTTCAAGTCCCTGTAACAGCCTGAAACACAGCTCCCATCTCTGAAATTTATGGATTCACAGGCGACTGCTCTTCTCTTTGTTTCCTAGGATTAGCTGCAGCATTTCCTATCAACCACAGATTAAAACAGCAAATCTCTTTGTTGCATATCATATGCCAGCCATCTCCATTTATGGTCTGAAAATACTCCATAATCCTATTTGCTGTTTGGCTCGGAGGACAGAGCTCTCTGGGTTCCGTTTCATTTCTTTGGAAAGTGCTGTTAGCCTGAGATATACAATCACCACGCTGAGGGCAAAGTTAAACAAACAAACAAAACCCAAACAAAACCCCAACCAACCAGCAAACCACCACCACCAAAGACAAGCCAGAAGCCTTCTGCAATATTATGGGTGAGGAATGATGATACCAACCCAGGAGTGCTAAAGGTGAATGCCCCAGGTGTGACAGCCCCAGGCCACTCTCAGATTCCAACTAAAAATTCCTGTTTAAGTAAGATATACAAAATGTGAGTTTTCTCAAGTTGTCAAAATATTTAAAAAAAAAAAAAAAAGAATGCACAAGGTGATTGTTTATTTTAGTCTTACCTGAATCAGTGATTTCACCACAGTTTGGGGTACCTAGCGGCAAATTAAAACCACCATCTGGAAATCTGTTAACCCCCTGCACAATTTACTTTATGGTAGATTGGTAAAGAGGATTATAAAATCCAGAAGGAAAGAAAAAAGAAAAAAAAGTACAGCTAATGTGAAAACAGCATTTTTTTTTTATTAATAAATCAACTGCTTAAAGTTTTCAAAGCCTTATTCTCTTATTTGCTTCTTACTTCACAGTGGGTTATCAAATTCTTGGGGTTTTGTAGTTGGCTTTATAGACTGTGGCCAAAGTGAAAGCTTTTGATGCCAAGAACCCATCAGCTGTTGTCTATTTGTGCACAAATGCATGGTAAAGGACTCAGTGAGCAAAATTACTTCTTTAAAGTCCAGTAGCTGATCTTTTTTTTTCTTTACTCCCATGGGTAGTTCTAAGCCACATCCAATTACGTTTTAGCGTGAAAATGTCATTTTACAAGGTTTTTAAGTCACAGAAGTTCATCTTGTAAATAGCATAACTCATCTCCTGTCAGAATATCACAAATGAATCCAAATATATTTCACAAGGAGCCTCAAAGTGAAAAAACAGCTTGTTGAATTCCCATAATTTGGTGTGATGACAGAACATTTTCACAGCGCACTTGATCCGGTGAGAGAGCAAGACTTCAGTTGCCAGTGTGGGCAGCCAAGTGGGGCACTGCTCACCGTGCTGAATTACCCACGTCCAACGTGGATTTATCGCTGGGGATGTACAGTTACAACACAGAGCAGGAAGACGATTCCCTTCAGCCCTGATAAGAGAATAACAGGAAAAGTCTTTGAAATTAAAACGCAAGGTGTTCCCCCCAGCACCGATCTTGGCAGAGTGCAGAGAAACGAGCTCAGAGCAGGGGCTTTCACGCCAGCGTGGAATCCCAGGACGGTTTGGGTTGGAAGGGACCTTGAATATCATCTCGTTCCACCCCCTGCCACGGGCAGGGACACCTTCCACTGTCACAGGTTGCTCCAAGCCCCGTCCAGCCTTTCCGCGAACCCTTCCAGGGACAGGACACTGTGCGTGGTTGGTTCTTGGGGACCCTCCCCGTGTCCCACTGGAAGGGCCCCCCCCCCCCCCCCCCCCCCCCCCCCCCCCACCCCCACTTCCAGAGCAGCCCCACCCAGAGCCGGGCGGTCGCGCCATCCACCTGACACATCCCCGGGGAGCCCAGCGCTCGCCTGGGGCTTGACCGCGGGCACCTTCCCCGGCGCTCAGGGCAATTTAAACGTGTTTTCTCCGGAGCGCTGCACCGAGAGCTCCGCCGGCCCCCCCCGGCCCCTCAGGGCGGGCGGGCGCGCGTGGGCCCCTGAAAGGGGGGGGGGGGGGGGGGTGTTGGCGCCGCCTAGTGGAGGTCCCAGAGGTCGCGCAGGGGCGCGGCCAGGCGCGGGTCCCGCGCGCGCAGCGCCCCCGCGTGGGCGTGGCGGAGCGAGCGCAGCTCCGTGAGGCGCCCCAGGAGCCGCGCGAAGCGCTGCGGGTCCCGCGGGTGCTGCAGCTTCGAGTGCTTGTACAGGATCCACAGCAGCGGCTCCTGCAGCTCCTCCACGTGGCGCTTGTCCCTCAGGAGCGGGCGGTCTGCGGGAGAGCGGCGGGGAGAGAGCGCGGTGTGAGGGGGGGGAGCCTGAGGCGGCAAGTGGCACCTCCACTGAGGGGGCAATGGCAGCTCCCCTGAGGGGGCAGTGACAGCTCCCCTGAGGGGGCAAGTGGCACCTCCACTGAGGGGGCAATGGCAGCTCCCCTGAGGGGGCAGTGACAGCTCCCCTGAGGGGGCAATGGCAGCTCCCCTGAGGGGGCAAGTGGCACCTCCTCTGAGGGGGTAAGTGGCGGCTCCCACGAGGGGATAGTGACATCTATCCCGGGGTAAGTGACACCTCCCCTGAGGGGATAAGTGACACCTCCCCTGAGGGGGTTAAGGGACAGTTTCCCCCGGGTAAGTGGCAGCTCCCCTGAGGGAGTGACAATTCCCCCGAAGGGGAGGCAAAGTGACAGCTTATTGTCACCACCCCAGCCTACCTGAGAAGAACACGGTGGTGGCTACGAGCAGAGCGTACTCGGTCTCGGTGACTTTGAGCTCCCCCATGCTTCTGTAGAAGTAGAACAGGGCGGTGATGAACTCCTCCGTTAAGCCTTAAAGATGGAAAAAAAAAAAAATTCTAAACCAGTCACAAAAGTTGTGTTAAGGTTATGCTATGGAGCTTTGGGTTTACAGATGGCTCAAGGCTTTATCCGGGGATATAATCAAACACCACCTCTTCCTGTGAGGATTTAATGCCTGTGTGTGTGACCAGAGCAGCTCAAGGAAGAGGGAGCCCGGTGGCCAGCAAAGCAAAAGATTCCCAGTACTTAGATTCTGAGATTCCCAGTGTTTAGATTCTACTTCCATTACCTGTGGTAGTAGTGGAGGTTGGACTCTCTTCGCTGTGAGACATTTCCAGGGAATAAATGTTGTTTTTGTCAAGGCTTTGAACGTGGCAACACGTCCCGTGATCAGAAAGTCTTGCATGACCTGGAACAAGATAGATGACAGTCTCCAGCCAAGCTTGAACTGCCTTTAAATATATGTGTGTATCTGCTTTGCAGATATATAGCTGAAAATGTGGGAATTTTTCCCAGATCCATTTAGGTGTAAAAAAAATATAATACAGCTAATATTAGCCATCCACCCAACAATTTATGCAAACACTCAAAATTGTTGCTTTTTGTTTAGAACTGATGGGAGAAAACCAGAAATCTGTTCATTTAGTTGTTAAAAAAATAAACTGTGTTCCTTGAATAAAAAGCCTTTAAAAGGTACGTTGTCATTAATGATACTATTCTAAGTACCACTCTGATTGGGGAGGTAATTATTTGAGATCAGGTGAATTAAAATGAATGGAAGTGTGGGGTTTTTTTTTTTTTTTTAATGGCAGAACCTCCTACTGGTGTGAGTGAAAAGCTCCTTAGTCAAACTTACTCTCACTTGTGGATGGCTGGCACTCGCTCATTCTCTGGTTGTATATTTGGGCTGATAGCAGGAACATTGCCTCAACTGTTGACCCTTTCAGCAGTGCAATCTGGTCCTCACTGGCTAAACTTTCAAATCCTGCAGAGAAAGGGACATGTTCTGAATCAGGGAAGGCTGGGGCTGCCTTTAAGCCCCTAACAAGAGATGATAAAATGACTTTTTTGTTAATAAATGCCTTTACTGGAAGGGAGGAGCCATAGTTAAGTGATGCATGTACCAAGGACTGTTGGGATCTTTCCGGCTTTGGACAATTAAAAAACAAAAAATTAAAAAAAAAAAAAAAAAAAAAAAAAAAAGGAGGGGGTAGTTTTAGTGTCCAGTTTTGGAAGATAGATGTGAAAATTTGAGGACTAAGCAAGACTTTATCCAAAATCTCTTCCTTATTTCTGGTATATATCACATGGCTTAGCATCTGATAAATTTGCTGGATTGCTTTGTGACTGGATATCCCCCTCACTCACTGATATATTATTATCTTTTTCAAATTTGTGTTCATCCTTTGACAAGCTCATTGTCTGCACTTACTATTCAAGAGCAAAGGACCTTCAGAGGTTTTTTCTTAATCCTGATCAAAGCAGGATATGTAGTACCATGAAAACAAAGAGCTCACCCCCTCAGCTCTTTCTCAGTAGTGCTAAATTACATCAAATACCTGGTGATTGACTTTTGTCAGCAAGTTTTACAACGAAAAAATTACCACCCTCCCTGTCAAGTGTCATTTTGCCAGCTTTCCACTGAAATGCAGTGGATTTAATTGCGTGTTCCCTTGTTCCTTATCGAAGGAAAATGTGAATAGGAGCACCTGGGCAGTCCCTTCTGTGCTGCCTTTTCCTCTGAAGGAGTATCTGGCTTTTATTTTGATGATTATGATTATGATGTGTTGCAAAACTGGATTTCAGGGAATGTGCAATTCAACCAAGATGGTATTTTGAGTCCCACGTGCCCGCAGCAAATGCCTCCACTCCACATCAGAAATGGAAAAGAAACCCAACCACAGCAAGGTTTTGAAGCGAGAGCTTCTACGTTTATCCTCAAGACAAGTAAATGGTGAGTTGGAAATAAAAAATAATCAGTTGAAAGCATTTTTTTTTTTTTAAAGCCTGTATTTTTGGGGGATTCATGCCATCAGTATGGTTTCTGTAATATATTCCCAAAGTAAGGAACTTACCTGGAAGTCTCTTTGTGAAGTCCACTAACACCTGGACGTGGACGACGGCTGTCTCGGAGAGCCGCAGAAAACTCTCCTCGGCGCTCGCAGTTTCTTGTAGCTGCATGAAAGGGCGTTTGGACATTGGGTATAACCCAGGCACAGTGCTGGGGACAACAATAAGTTAGCAATGCA